AAATTACATAAAGTTGTGTGGAGTGTATTTTCAACAGTTATTCACACTGTGATTTGTTATTGTTATGATATTCTCTGGAATCGTAAAAGCGCTTAGATCTAAAGACCAGTGCTCAATCGCATGGTTGGTCCGCAGTGGTGGTGCACACTTGCTGTTTCATTGTGGAACTCGGGTTTTTATAAGCCATAAATCACAGATTCCACACCGTGCCCAGTTCAGGTGGGACCAGGGAAGCAAGCAAACATCTTTTACCTTTTAGTCATTATTTGAAGTTAAAAGGGCCCATTTCTTTTTGGGTTTAACTACCTATGGCACCCTCTCCAAAACTTTTCAGAGCAGGTGTCAAAGTGTGATGACATGAGGAATACTGAGGCTTTAGGATGGGGTGCTAATGGTGTAAGATTAGGGGAAGTGGTAATTATTTGTTTTTTTAAGACAGGGTCTTACTCTGGTGCCCTGGGTGGAATGCTGTGGCTTCATCACAGCTTGCAGCAACTCTTAGGCTCAAGTGATCCTTTTCCTCAGACTCCCCAGTAGCTGGGACTCCAGGCACCCGCCACAGTGCTCAGCTAGTTTTTCTATTTTTAGTAGAGATGGGGTCTCATTCTTGCTCAGGCTGGTCTCAAACTCCTGAGCACAGGCAATCTACCCTCCTCAGCCTTCCAGCGAGCTACCGGAACCACCATGTGAGCTACTGCGCCCAACCAATGGCAGCATGTCTGAGAGACAGAAGGCTCTGAGCTGTCTGACAGCCTTACTTCTAAATCCAGCTCTGCCACCACTGTCTTGACCCTGGGAGACACTTTTAGTTTCCATTTCTGTTAACAGGAAGGACCTGGGCTTAGTCTGTGGTTCTTAAGGTCTTTGGAGCCATGGCCCCCTGAGGAATCTTGGGAGGCCGGGAATACACACATTATGTATATGCCCCCCAGTCCACTGCTGGAGCTGGGGGTCTCTGTGACCTTATTAGCAGCCCTGGCCTCCTTCAAAGTTGAGATGCTCCCATGACACATTATAAATGTTGCCATCCTTCATAACCCAGTAAGTGCGTGAGTCTCTTGTAAAGAGCTCCGTCAATCTAGCTTAATCTAATTCATGTAGTTATTTAAGTATCCCTGATTCATAAATGGGTGATCTCAAGGTAGGAAAATGGGCAACTCATTCTCAGCCTTCAGGAAGGGAAAAAGGCCAAGAGTTCAGGCTTTATTTACAAAGTAGAAATACAAGTTTTACATTTACTTTAGGTTTTCATTTTTGACAACATTAGACAGGAAGCAGCCAATCATAACTTGAGCTATTTGGTAGCAATTATCCTTCATCTGCTAATTCCTAGGCAGGAAAAATATGATTCAAATGAGTTTCCGCACAGCTGTTGATTAGGCATAATGGCAAAGTAATCATCATAAAGCTAATAATCAGAGCAGAGCCAACATTTTAAAAGTTATTGTTGAGTAACCAGAAAGCTCTAAAAGCCAAAAACAATGTTCAACTAACTTGAATATTACCAACCCCCCCTTTCTGTCTGCCCTTCAACACCAATTAAACAGAGCAAACTAAAACCAGTTAATTACTTCAATTTCGAGGTCAACTTTCAACAACTCAAACCTTCATAATAAACAAACCACAATATTGAAAGCTTTTTTGAAAAAAATCAATAAACAAACAGCCATCATACTGGGAAAAACAGCAACATTTAACAACACATCAATACATTTTAAACAAGCCTGTACTTTGATTAGCTCAAGCCCCTGTTGCCTACCCCCTACCCCTACTGGGCACTCCCAGTCCATGCAGGCCAGTGTGCCCATGCCCAGGGTGCTGCCATGGGGCAGCTAGTAGGGGTCTCCACTGAGCAGCTCCCTGCACAGGTCCCACAGAATGCAGAGATTAATGAGCTCACAGGTGGGACAGCACATAGTTTCAGATCTTTTTAGGATGCTTGATAACAAAATCACTTTCTTTCTTATATCTGTCATTTAGAAGTCTAAAGTCAGTGCTGTAAATGGGATTCCTGGCAGGGTTCTCAGTGTGTACCTGGTTGAAGACCCCCAGACAAAGTCTGCTAGGATTCTAACCACAGTCCCCTGGAAATTACTGGACAGCCAAAGGTGAACAAAGGTGAGTGTTTACTAGGGCTGGGAGGTTAGATGCCCATTGGTAGAGAAAATTACAGCCCAACAGCATATAGATTTGGGCTCTCAGCAGCATAGGTTTGGGGTCTCAGCATCCTCTGTTGTTTCTCTCTACTTCTGCCTCCTCTTGTTTCTTTTATTTCTTTTTATACATTTAAATGTCTTAGAATTCTCTCCCACCACCTTGGGCAGAAGCATTGGAGTCCCTCCATCTAGTGAACTAAGATGTCAGATCAGTCTAGGTAAATTTTCTCTGCATAACCATCCCTGCATTCCAACAGACCTCTTCCTATGTTTTCTTTAAAAATAAATGTGTGATTTTTTTTCAAAAGCCACTGAGCCCCACACTTTGGACAACCAGGGCTTTCAAACTCTCCAGATGCTCTGATATGAGATTTTATATTTTAGTAGGAAGAGGCTGAATACAGACAGCAAAATCACCCATCCCCCTTTCCATCATAAGAATGTGACAGCTCTTTAATCTCAGTTCCTCAATAAATGGCAATCTTCTCATATGCTTACCATATGTTATGGTAAAAGTCCATAATGTTAAAGTCACTGCTTTGCAAAGACACTCCCATAAGACTTTACTTCCAAGAAAACTCCAAATTCCTTTCTGTCTTTTTTTTTTTCCACCACAGATGGGTAATGTGCCAATGTGTCACAAGATTTGAGGGAGGCATATCTCACTCACACATGTGAAAGCCCAGTCGTCACTCCTATGAACTACGAAAGGATCAAAACTCTAAATCTCTAATGCTACAAGTGTCGATCACTTCAACAGGAGAAGAGGCATGGTCAAAGTTTTGAAACCTGCATTGAGAATTAAGGAGTTATTTATTAAAATGGATTTTTCTCCTAAGATCACTCTGAGGAAGAAGAAGAAGATATAGAAGTCTGCCTGGGAGAACTTGGAGGATGGACACCAATGAAAGAAGCATGAACAAGGTGGAAAGATGATGGGGACTGTGGCGAGCCACTGAGGTACCAGGGGGTAGGACAGAGTCCTCCCAGACAGTATTGGTTGGTTTCTTCTCAACTCTGCTCACAGAACTGTAGGCCTTGTAGGTTACAATTGAAGCCAAGAACTATGGGGCTCCAGGACCAGCATGGGCCCCTCCCCATTCTTGACTCCAGGGGAAAGACGCACAATTCCTGTTTGCCCCCTCTGTTTCCCTGTCTGGTGTGGGATTCCTGGAGAATTTTATAGGCTGTAAACTAGAGAAAAGTTTTACTTCCCACCCCCCTGCAGTGTCTCCCCAACCCTTCACATGCCCATTCCCATATCGTAAGCCATCTCTATTAAAGTCATTGTTTAGAATGGATTGAGGTTGATCAAGGTAAAGTTGCAATCATCGTGGGATAAGGTCCATGTTTCTCATGCAAGTTTTATAGAAGCTTTGAAGTACCAAAGGATGTCCAGAGACCACAGACATACTTACTAAATTTTTGCTTTTCTTAATCACTGTATGTCAGTCAAGGTGGCTTCATATTGACTTCAGTGATGCTGAGGTATAGGGGAGAAATTAGAGAAATTTACTTCTATAATGTGAGAAAACGACTCC